ATAATCCTCCATAGCCTCAACCTGTCGAATAGCATCACGAATGCGAACATAACGGTCGACCATTGCGTAAGTCGATGACCAGCGGGTTGCATTCCTTTTGACAGGTTGCAAGTCCGTGAGCTCTCCTAATCTAGCTGCATTGTTGCAGTGACGTAACTGGATCATCAAGTCGTTGACGGTGGCAAGTTCGGCTTCGTACTCGGCTAGGAAGCGGTTGACAGCCAGGTTGAACGTGTGGCTGGCGCAGCCAACCAGAGGAACGCCGAGGAGTGTAGCGATCTTCTGGTTGGTGTTGCGGTTGTCACTCACAATAAAAGTTACCATGTCGGTAGTCTTGTTGTAGATGCGAAGCACGGACTTCATCATCGTGACGTGGGCTTCGGCTGTCTGGCTGCCGTTCAGAGGAGACAGGGTTGTAGTCGCCCACGCCGGGTCCCCATCATCTCGTATACACTGTATAGTCCGACGTAGTGTAATGATCCGTGAGACTAGACATCGAACATCAGAGCAAACAAGGTGCCTTTTTCGTGTTCGATGGCTGCCCCCACGTCCTTTGCCACTGTGTGCATGCATTTCTTCAAGGTCTTGGAAAAAACGGGCGGCCATTTGCTCATCGAGCGTGTGAGCTCGTTGACTACCTCAGTGATGGGCAGATTGCGCTCGATGATCCATTGTAACCACTGGAAGCGATGGTTCGTCTCCTTCGACACGAAGCCAAAACTCTCGAGCCCGCCACCACCAGTAGCCGCAGCGTACGTCCTCGTAGTGCGGGTGCTTGGTAGCGATGTGAGACATCAAGTTGGAATAGCTGCTGCCGATCTGCTGCTTTCTAGGGATACCGCACTCCTTGCGCTTGTAGCTCCCTGCGCCGAGATCCTCGTAGAAGAACGCACAAATTTCCTTGCGTTCGACCATCTTGAGATTTGAAAGTGAGCTTAGTAAAGCATAACACGCAGGCAAAATGGGTGGTTGAAAACGGTGAGTGCAACGAATCGTGTTTACTGTAATATATTGTATTACATATTACTGTGCCAATACTGAATTGTACTGGTTTAGCATAAAACCCGTAATAAATAATTGACCTCTCACAATGCAATTATTACTGCGCGGATATTACTTTTCCAGGGCCTGAGTAGAATACCATCTGATATCCACGCCCAAATTTCTCGCCGAAGTCGCGGTTGTACTTTTCGAGCGGGTTATTGGTCCTATTTGTGATGTCAATCCCACCAACCATCATGCTATTGACGTTCCACAAGCTGGAATCAAAGCGCCCCATCCACGTCTTGCGAAAATATCGCCAAAACTGATCCCACTTGCCCTTAGAGCCCTCTTCGTTAATCAGACTTCGCACATATCGGATTCCCTGGTTAAAAAAAATTACAACGTCATACAAGATCATAACGTCAGAATTGAAGTGTTAAAAATGTCAATAACACAAAGTTAAAATTTCAAACGATAAGAAAAATAAAAATATGCGCACCTTGTCGATTTCATCTGTAGGAATGATGATCAAAATGTCGAGTTTGCCGGGGGTCATTGCATCCCTTACCTGATCCCTTGTTAGGCCCTGATCCAGCATGTGACGGCGAAGCGCTTGTTTCCAATGAAACAAACAGTCCACAATATGCACTTTCGGGAACTGGTCGACTACAGCGTTGATCAACGCGAGCTCAAAGTCGCACGTAACGCTGGCGGGTTCTAGTCGGCGGTCCGTCGCAATGACAATCATTGTCAATGCGTCCAGATAGGTGTCGTAGTCTCGTCCTTCAAGGAGTACGTACATCGCCAGAACGTACAAGTTAACAGTAGCGTCCAGCACCATTACAATAAGGCATTGTACGAACGGTTTCGGCACCATTTTAAAGGTGCCGTCGATGAAGACCGGAATTGCTGGGTTTCGTAGCAAGAGGACTAGATCTGGGAGCCCAAATCCTACGATACGGCGCTCCTTATTCTTGACAGACCACCCAGTGTTAAACCTCACAAAGGAGCGTTTGTCCGAGTCGCTGAGCCAGCGCGCCTCGGCCTTGTCGAGCGAGTGTAGCATATCGCAACCCATACCCTTGCGGGTATTTTTTGACAATGTTGACACCTTGCAGTTTTGGGATGGCGTTCAGCGTGTTTCCTTTGTGTAAGTTGTTCAATGCTGAGCGGACACGCTACCACACCATTGATGAAGCTTCAGACGCTGATTCTAGAGCCGCTCGCTGGAGCTGCTGACGCATTTCACACCGCACATCCATGACTTGAATCGGCAGTAAATTCTCGCAGTTGTGCTCACCGCGAGCGCGTACGTGTTCTCTTTTCGAAATCAGCTTTGCAAGGCAGCCTTGTCGGAAATGACGGCAGTTGTAGTAGGTGGTGCCAGTGACTTTGTTCGTTGTCCTAATCACATACTTCTTCCCTTCGTGCAGCATTTTGGAAATGCCTGAATGAAGTAATGCCCTAGCTCGAGAACGCACTACACGCCAACCGTTCTAGCCATACTTTTACTAGCAAAAAGGTAAGATTTAGATCCGTAATTTATAAAATAACGCATATGTTTTGGACAGATTTTGGATAAATGTGGTAATTTATCACCAAAGCAGCAAAACCCAAATTGGATATTTTGGCCAAAGTTGGACTCGTTTTGGACAGAATATCCAACATCCTCGGAAACGGCCTGCTGGCGCTCTCGTGGTGTCAGTTCTCGTCTTGTGCGCAAGTTAGTCTCAATGGCGGTCAGTGGTTCGTTTCAGAATACTCCAGATATGAGCTAGGATGTCTGTGCTTGTTTGCCACTATTTTTGGCTCGAAAATACTCGAGTTGCCACCGATCGAGAAGTTCTGCACACCATTGAAATCGCACTGACTCGAGCTTGTATTTAAGGCCAATCCGAGGCCATCTCGTGTAATATTGACGAATCCCGAGCCAAACTGGCAAAAAGGGACAAGTAATATGAAACGGAGTAGTACGTAATACATGTAGCAAGCTCTCGTAGTTTGCTCACGAGCCGAATCAGCCCCAAACGAAGCAACGAAATAGTTCAATCATGTAATTTTGGAGATGTTGGAATCTAGATTAAAAAAA